AGTCCTGCCTTAAGCATGAAAGCCGGCTGGGTGACTTTGGGCCAATCTGTCAGGTTTCCAAGTGATGAAATCCATTCAAAAAGAAAACAGCAAAGTTTTGTCTCTTATCCCAACCCACCTCATAGTGTTGTTGTTGCAGGGAAAATAGCAGGAAGAAGGAGTATTAAGAATGTCTGACACTTTGAGTTATTTATAAAAGTAGGACATAAATAAATAAATAATCTAGAAATTTGTCTAAAGTTTCAGCCTGATTTCTTACCTTTCCAGCCCCCTGAAAAATTGTAAATTCCCTTTTATAATAATTTACAGCATCCCCATGGTCATGTGATCAGAATTCAGACGCTTGGCAACTGGCATGTATTTGTGACGGATTCGGTGTCCCTGAGGTTACATGATCCCCTTTTGCAACCTTCAGACAAGCAAAGTCGATGAGAAAGCCAGGTTCACTCAACACCTGTGTTACTAACTGAACAGCTGCAGCAATTCACTTAACAGCCGTGGCAAGGAAGGTCGTAAAATGGGACAAAACTCGCTTAAGCCCTGTCCTGCTTAGCAATGGAAATTTTGGGCTCATTACAGCTTGTGACTGTAATGGACCCCTGAATTGTGGTTGTTAAGTAGCATGTGGGTTGTTAAACAGGTCACCGCGTGACTGCACCCAGTTTTGTGACCTTTCCTGCAGCAGTCATAAAGTGAATGCCATGGTCATTAAGCAAATCCATTGTCTGCAATGGACGTTTTGTGGAGGAAACTGGAAGTAAAGGCTGGTTTGCAGCAGAAAATGTCATAAATGACGGTCTCTAAGCGATTGGTCATAAATTGAGGACTATTTCTATGCTGTTGGAAGACCTAAAAGACAGGCTAGGGACTGATCAGTCTGGAGAAAACCTATCTATGTGGTGATTATGAGGCAATATTGACGTGGCACATAAACAGAGAAGCTCACAACGTTCTCATTACACACATACTCATTTAGCCTATTGCCAAATTCTAAGTTACTCAGCCTTTGGTATAATTTTGAAATACTCACCTAATAAATTGCCTTGGAGTCATTGCTGATGTTATCTGTAGTGAATTGTTTGTTCATTTTGTTTATGTCAACATTTTGTATTTATTTTATCCACCGTAGCTAAGTGGCATTTTTAGCACCAGTTCGCTAGTTAGGCTTTCCTTGTTTAGGAATATAAATTATGCACATTCTTGGGTAAAATTGAAGACCATGCTATTCTTGCTTTCTGCGAGTTGAGCCTGAAGTAGCATTCATTTTATGCTCGGTTCCAAATAATGTTTTTTAAGAACATAAACTAACTTTTTAATTAGGAAATAATCTAATTTTTAAGAAGACACTGGACAGCCATTTGTCTGAGATGGTATATAGCACGGGTCGCCAACCTTTTGGACCTCAGGGACCACCAAACTCATAATTTTAAATCCCGCGAAAAATCCCAAAATAAAGTCTGCCGGAAAATTCCCCACCCCGTTTTCCTACCAATTGATCATTCTTTATTTGGGATTGTAGGATACCGTCTCCAGCTCAGTTCTCAGGGGTAGAGAGAGAGGGAGAGACTTTTGACCTCTTGCAAGGAAAGTAGCAGAAGCAGCAGAAGTCTTTCTTTCTTTCCCCCAAACTCCGCCAGAAATGAGTCTTTGCCGGCACAGCCTCTTGGAGCAGGATACCGTGCAGGGTCCCAAAGACTCATTTCTGGCGGACTTTGGGGGAGAGAAAGAAAGACTTTTGCTGCTTTCCTTGTGTGCAGCCAAAAGCAGAAGAAGAAAGAAGCAGAAAGAAGCAGCCTGGTGGATGGGGCGAGTGGGGCAAGTTCCCCCACTCCACCCTTTCCCCCCTCCCCTCACTACCTCGTGTTGTTCGCAATGCAAGCAACGCAAGCCTTGTGTTCCCGTGGGCCATATGGGCGGCGGCGCCCTGTATTCCCATGCAGCCTGGATTAATTGCTTTGGGGGTGACATTTCTCTGTGGACCAGCAAAATTTTCCCACAGACCACCAGTGGTCCCCGGCCCACTGGTAGGCGACCACTGGTATATAGATCTTCTACTTGAGCCAGGGGTTGGACTAGAAGATCTTTAAGGTCCCTTCTAGCTCTATTCTATTCTAAATCTCAGGTAGAGTGCTTTTGCAGCTGAAGGGTCTTATTTTCCCCACTTTATCCTCATCTCTGTTGGGTTTATGAAGACCAGCACTCTCTTTCTGTTGTTCTTCTCTTGAGATAGACTGCCTCTTAACCCGAGAAGTCCTTTTTGGTATTCACAGTACAGATAGTCCTTGCCTTACAACAATTTTGAGCAACCATTTGAAGTTAACAACCACACCATAACAAGTCCTTGCATTTAGGACCGTTGCAGCATTCTCACACACCCCGTCCCCCCAGTCAATCAGAAATTTGATGCTTGGCAACTGGCATATATTTACGAAATATTGCTCTTTGCAACTTCCCCAGTTGGCTTCCAAGCAAAGTCAGTGGGAAAAGCCTGATTCGTTTAATGGCCAGAGGATTCACTTAACAAGAGCGCCATCCCTTGAGACTTTCAAGAAGAGATTGGACTGCCATCTGTCAGAAATGGTATAGGGTCTCCCGCTTGGGCGGGGAGGGGTTGGACTAGATGACCTACAAGGTCCTTTCCAACTCTGATTATCTGTTAAGAGCAGCAATTGGCTTAGCAACTGTGGCAGTAAAGTTCATAACACATTGGGTGCGATTCACTTAACAACCGGCTTGCTTAGCAATGGAAATTTTGGTCCCAATTGTGGGAGTAATGCATATTGTGGGCGCAATTTTGCAAGTCTGCCATACCTTTGAAAAATCACTGTGTTCCTAGAATTCTAGTGTTACAGGAAAAGAAAGAAAAAAATAACCAGGTTATTTTTTTTAGACAGTGTCCAGAAGGTCAATACAGTTATATAAGACTATATTCAAACATATTAAATGATTTTACTAGATGAATTTATCTAGTAAAGTTTTTGTTCTTTAATTGCATATTTCTGCAGTTTGCAAACACGGAGACTTCCTTATATGGAGTACTTTTGGTTCATAACATCATGTGCACCGAAACAGGTTGATTTTCCCCTCCGAGGCTGTGCATGAAATATTGGTAGATGTCCTAGCTGGAGTGCAAACATTTTGAACAGCTGAGGATCATTTTGACCCCAAAATTGTGTATTCTGAACTTGGATTATTTCCAGGATACAGCATTCAAAACACAGTATTCTGAAATTCTTTTGAAATGCGGTTTTGCACTATGAATTGTTGCAGTGGAGCAGTTCAGCGCAAAATGCTTTGCAGTTTACTTTGTCCTTTATCCCTTTTGTTTTGTGAGAGGATTTTCCATTAATATTCCAAATGACATGATAAATCTTACAAGTTGCTAGATCTCAAATAAGTATTATTACTTTTTCCTTCCCCGGCTGAAATAGGCTCAGACAAGGGGCTTGGTGGAGGGAGCCGACCTAAACAATCAAGGTGGTGATGACTGCAAGAATGCAATTAAAGTCTTGTCCCAGAAAGCCAGTTTGGTCTAGCGATGAAGGCCAAGGCTAGAAATCAGGAGACTCTGAGTTCTAATCCTAATTTAGGCATGAAAGCTGTTGGGTGACTTTGGGCCAATCATTAAGAGACGGTGAGTTGGACAATCACTTAAATATGGACAATCACTTAAATATGGACAATCACTTAAATATGAGCCAGCCGTGTGCAGCAGCTGCCAAAAAAGCCAACACCTAGCCTGCATTAACAGAGGGACAGGATCAAGATCACATAAAGTGTTAATGCCTCTTTTTAATGCCTTGGTAAGGCCACACTTGGAATCCTGCATCCAGTTTTGATCCCCACGATGTGAAAAAAGATGTTGAGACTCTAGAAAGAGTGCAGAGAAGAGCCACAAAGATGATTAAGGGAATGTGGGCTAAAACACGTAAAGAACGGTTGCTTGAATTGGGTATGTCTACTTTGATGAAAAGAAGGACCAGGGGTGACATGATAGCAGTCTTCCGATATCTGAGGGGCTGCCACAAAGAAGAGGGAGTCAAGCTATTCTCCAAAGCGCCTGAAGGCAGGAAAAGAAGCAATGGATGGAAACTAATCAAGGAGAGAAGCAACCTAGAACTAAGGAGAAATTTCTGACAGAACAATCCGTCAGTGGAATAACTTGCCTCCAGAAGTTGTGAATGCTCCAACACTTGAAGTTTTTAAGAAGAGACTGGACAACTGTTTGTCTGAAATGGTATAGGGTTTCCTGCTTGAAAGCCAGCTGGGTGACATTGTCAGGCTCAGGTGATAAACCAGTTGGTCAATTCCTGTCACAACCAATGGATCAATTTTCAGTTAGTCTGAAAAAAAACACTGCAGAAAAAAACAGTAGGAAGAAAAAAAATATTAAAGTCTTGTTGTCCCCCTTTTTTATGCATTAGTTCAATATTTCTCAAAATGTAGGCTGAATTGTCTCCTAAGATCCTGTCAGGGATGTGAAAAAATCAAAATTATTTGCTAGCCTGTGCTGAAAAATAATACCATATTAGAATCCCATCAGACCATTATGAGAAACTATAGTGGCAGCGAACACATCAATTTTAATTTTTAATATGAGAAATTTCAATAAATGTCACCCATACAAACAAAAGCTCTTTTAGAGTGCATAATTTTAAAAACTAGAAAGTGGTCCTGAGAGAAAAAGGTTGAAGAAACAAGGAATTGTTGTTTTTAAAAGGATTCTGAACATACAGTCACAAGAAGAGGCAACATCAAAAGGACCTAAACCAGTGGTGGGATTCTACCGGTTCGCACCCATTCTCTAGAACCGGTTGTTAACATTCTAAGCAGTTCGGAGAACCGGTTGTTAGAAGAAATTACTGGCCTAATCCTGTAAGGAAGGCAGGAAGGAAACATTCTGGTGTTGCTTACAGAAGCTGCCTCTCCATTAACCCTTATTACATTCTTGGCAGGACTAGACTTCCTGTCTCAGGAACTTCTCAGGAGTTTTTTTTTTTCCTCCTTTGCTGGTACTTTGCTTGTGTGGAGTGACCATTCAAAGTTACAATGGCACTGAAAAAAGTGACCATTTTTCACTCTTACGACTGTTGCAGCATCCCCACAGTCATGAGAGGCCAGGCGAGGAGATGCATGCCTCGATGTGAGTGGTGTTGATTTGGCCACACCCAGCCAGTCACATTACCACCAAGCCATGCCCACCAACTAAGCCATGCCCACAAAACCAGTTGTTAAAAAAATTGAATCCCACCCCTGACCTAAACCAATTATAATTTTTTAAAAATATTTTGTATTATATTTTACATCAGTTGGTGTCACAAAGCTAAGATGGGGGAAAGGGGCTCATATAAATTATATAAATAAATAGAGACAATTTTTCAAAAACCAAAGCAATTAGAATGGGGATGGGAGACCACCAGTAAATCTAGATCGGTAATGAAGAAAATTATAGAAGGAGTAGCAGAGCCTGGGGGTGGAGTCATAAGAGGGATTAGCCTAAAATCCCTACAAATGAGTCCAACATCCCCCTTGAATGTCATTGAATCTTACCTAACTCTAACCCAGTGCTAACCTTTGGTTGAGAAGATTCCTGTGCATAGGTTTTTAGCAGTGGTGGGATTCAAATCTGTGGGAGTGGGCTTGGTGGGCGTGGAAGGGTAAGGTTACTGTAAAATCCCCATTCCCTCCCCACCCCACTAACCTGCTTTCTAGCTCCGTTCTCCTGTGCAGGGCAACCAAAGAAGACCCAGCCGATCAGCTGGGACTCAATGGGATGCAGAGAAGAGATGGGGGTGGGGCCAGTCAGAGGTGGTATTTTTCGGTTCTCTGAACTACTCAAAATTTCCGCTACCGGTTCTCCAGAACTGGTCAGAACCTGCTGAATACCACCTCTGGTTTTTACCAAAAAAATCAGTGTAATTGAATCTTCACCTATGGACTTGGTCTTTCACACCTGACCCTAATATCCTACCTAGAAGAAAACAGCAGCAAAATCATGTTCATATTATTTTACTGAATTATTTATAAACAACAATAAAGGTGGGATTAAAAATAAATGTGTAAAGAAATAAAAATCAGTGCCAAGGAAAAAAATTACCAGAAGTTGCACATGACTCGAGGGGATTTGTCTACACTTAGATCTCAGTGGTGCTAGTTGGTTTGCATGACGGGACCAGGGGAATATCCGAAAGAGTGTTTTCTTGGCATTTTGCAGCTCATCTTTGGTGAAAATGCAACGCTACCTGGGAGCCTGAGCTTCTGGTGTTTGAAATCCCACTTCTGAATTTAAAAGCACAACAGAAGGGCATGTCTTCCTTTGCATTTAATTACACTGGCAGATTTGTCTTGGGCACTTACTTGCAAATGCCTTGAGAATTGTTTCCATAAATATACCACAAAAGGCTGTGCAGAATTCCCCAAGGATTTTGCAGGGACGTATCTTTCATCGTCTGGCTCCTTGGCAAGAAACTGGTGGTAAGATTTGCTTCAGAGGGAAAGATGACCTACTTTTCCTTTCCTTAAAATATTTCAGTGTTACGTTTCTGCTGCTAAATACCATCCAGTCCTTCAACTGACAAGGAGAACAGGAAAATCGTATTCAAAGGCAGCTCTAAAAATTGCCTTTTTGCTTTTTTTCTCAAAGCTGCAACATTTGTGTAGTTACACAACTACACAGTTGTATAAAGTGCTGTGTAGTTATAAAAAGCATCAAAAAGCGGTCAGGAAATTTCTCCTTATTTCCAGGTTGAATCTCTCCTTGTTCAGTTTCCATCCATTATTCCTTGTCTGGCCTTCGGGTGCTTTGGAAAATAGCTTGACCCCCTCCTCTCTGTGGCAGCCCCTCAAATATTGGAGTGTTGTAATGACGAGGCAGTCGAGTTGTTTGATCATGATCGACTGAATCATGATGATCTTTATTGGAGTCTGGTCTTGTATTTATACACATTTTTAATTATCCTCAATCATTGGTTAACTTTGGTTACTGCTTAACTTTCGTTACTGTTTAGCAAAGTAATTAACACAATTAATTATCTCTAGTTAAAGTCCAACATATGTTTACTTCCTCTCTCTAATCCTCCTTTAGATTAGTGACTTTGTTTGCCTGAGTTGTATTTGCTTGGAAACATTCTTTATCTGAGGTTTGCCATCCGAGAGATTGGAACATTCCTGCAATTACAACTCTACATTGGAAGTCTGCTATCATGTCTCCCCTGGTCCTTCTCTTCACTAGACTAGCCAGGCCCAGTTCCTGTAACCATTCTTCATATGTTGTAGTCTCCAGTCCCCTAATCATCCTGGTTGCTATTCTCTGCACTTTTTCTAGAGTCTCAACATTTTTTTTATTGTGGAGACCAAAACTGAATGCAGTATTCCAAGTGTGGTCTTACCAAGGCAGTATAAAGTGGTATTAACCAGTGGTGGGCTTCAAAAAATTTAGCAGCCAGTTCTCTTTCCTCGATTCTCTGGGAGGGCAAAAACAGCCTCCCTGGGCTTTGGAGGCCCTCTGGAGGCCAGAAATGGGTCCTTTTCCGGCCTTCTGGAACTTTTGGGAGACCTGTTTTTCGCTCTCCCCAAACTTCTGCACAGCCCTGAACTTACCTGAGATCCAAAACGGATCATGCAGGGACTCCTGGGAGGGGTGGGATGGGTGGGGCCAGCCAGGGGTGGGATTTGCTGGTTCACCAAACTGGACATAAAATTAACAACTGGTTCACCTGAACCAGTGTGAACCGGTAGCAGCTCAGCCCTGATATTAACACTTCACGTAATCTTGATTGTATCCCTCTGTTAATGCAATTTAGGATTGCTTTGGCTTTTTTGGAAGCTGCTGCACACTACTGGCTCATATTTAGCTGTTTGTCCACTAAGACTCCAAGATCCCTCTCACAGTTACTACTATTGAGCCAAGTACCACCTATACTACACCCGTGCATTTGGGGTTTTTTTGCCTGAATGTAGAACCTTACTTTTAATAATTTTACATTTCTCAGTTTTAATTTTTTCAGTCAATATCCAGAGATATCACCCACATAAAGCAAAGTTCTTTGAGCTCCTCTATCATTCTTAAACATGTAAAAGGGTCGAGAAACCTAAATGTTTGAAAATTGGTAAATAGATAATTCTGGGATGTCTTCCACTTCCAAAATTCTGGAATTTTTCAATATTTTTTTCCCCTTTTGATGGTCTTCTAGGTTGCAGAGATGGAGGAAATGACCATCTGGGAGCAATATACCATTACGTTGAATCGGGTAAGTAGAGGCATTGTGGCAGCCACCATAAGAATCAAATAAATAGTAATAATTTCACGCTACATGTCTTTTATACTTCCATATTTCCTTGTCTGAAGTGTTTGTTTCCACATTAATAGTTTTTCTTTTGTTTTTGTATTTGTGATATTCGTAGAGTAGATTTAATTTTTTAAATTTAATGTGGAATAAATGGACTTGTTATTAAATTAATATTATTTTGTTATATATTGATTTTATTCAGAAAGGGTTCATTATCTACGGAGATTCTCAGTCATCCAGGTCATGGTTGTCCCAAGGGTGCTTTTTCAAGAGGCAGGTGGACTTTGTTTTTTCCTTGAAGAGGTTTTACTTCTTATCCAAGAAGCTTCTTCAATACTGACTGTCAGAACTGAAGAAGCTTCTTGGATGAGGAGCAAAACTTCTCCAAGGAAAAACAAAGTCCAGCTGCCTTTTGAAAAAGCGCCTTTGAGGCAAAGTAATCATTAGAATTTGTGGACTCGCTGGGGTTTACTCAATCCTTGGATCTCAGGAAATAAATAATGGAACAAAAGAAATAGAAGAGAATATTTGGCGCTCAGGGTTAAACTGTGGGGTCCTTGGTGGTCTCTGAGTTTGATAGTTTTCTTGCAGGCATTTCATTACCAGATTAGGTAACATCATCTGTGCTAATAGAAAGTGCTCTGAGCAAATCCCACTTCCTATTAGCACTGATCATGTTACTTAGTTTGGTAATAAACATCTGCAAGAAAACCACCCAGCCCAGAGAGCACCAAGGACCCCACAAAAGAAATTTTGCATTTATTTCTCATATCAATTGCTATAGTCTTATATCTTCTTCTCCTTAGAATAGAATAGAAAAACAGAGTTGGAAGGGACCTTGGAGGTCTTCTAGTCCAACCCCCGCTTCGGCAGGAAACCCTACAACACTTCATAGAAATGGTTATCCAACATCTTTTTAAAAACTTTCAGTGTTGGAGCATTCACAACTTCTGTTGTTCCACTGATTAATTGTTCTAACTGTCAGGAAATTTCTCCTTAGTTCTAAGTTGCTTCTCTCCTTGATACGTTTCCATCCTTATTGCTTCTTTTCCTGCCCTCAGGAGCTTTGGAGAATAGCTTGACTTCCCTCTTCTTGTGGCAGCCCCTGAGATTTTGGAAGACTGCTATCATGTCTCCTCTAGTCCTTCTTTTCACTAGACTGGACATATCCAGTTCCTGCAATATTGAGTTATGTTCTATTTTCTTGCAATAAGAAGTGCAAGAAAAGAGCTTAACCTTTTCTCCTTTCATGCAGGATCCCCGGAAGGGTTTTGGCATTGCCATTTCGGGTGGCCGTGATCGTCCAAACAGTTCAGATGGTGACACCTCTATTATCATATCAGATGTGGTGCCTGGAGGCCCAGCTGTTGGACGACTCCAGTAAGTACTTTAAAATCGCAAACTCATGAATCAAGAAAAACGAAAGTTTTTCTTTCCTCTTTCAAGATCCTGTTGCTGTTTGCCTTCTGTGATGTCACAGCAATTGAACCAATGACTGGGCCAATGGGCCATGCTTACTGCTTTGTGGGGACAGCAATTATCTCTTTGGGCACCCACTTGCTTGCTCACTTAGTGCCTACACTGTGCCCCACCTTAGCTGAGATGTTTCTGGTGGAAAAACAGGATAATATTTCTTAGTTATAGCACTTAGAAGTAGCCCTCAACATACGACTGGTCGCTTAGCAAGCATTTGAAGTTACAACAGAACCCCACCTCCCAGAAGGGACCTATGATCTGATTCTGGAGTACTGAAGGTGGCACACACATACAAACACACACAACACACACTGAGCAGAGACATGATTGCATTTTGGTTACTTGGCAACCGGTTCATCTTTATGACCGGTTGTAGCATTCTGCAGTCACATGCTGCAATTTCTGATTTTTGGGGGGTGGGGGGGCTAGAAAACCTATCCTTTGAGCCATTTTCCAACAAAAATCACCAATAGGAATGAACTGATTTGCTTAACGACTGCAGTATTCACTTAACAACCCCTGCAAGAAAAGGTCACAAAATTTGAGTGCCTCAGTATTATTTCCATTTTTCCATTATGGTGGAAATTCCAGGCTCCATTGTGGTTATTAATTCAGGACTACACGTAATTATTAAATGGTCAAACTTTCACCTTCAGGAGGGTGATCTTGGCATTCCCTTCTTGGCACTTTAATTCCATTGTGCCACATTGTGCGATGAAATTTCTTTGCTGTCTCAAACATCTGTATTGTGTGCATGCTGCTTTTTAAAATAGTTCAATGGACTTTTACACGAAGAAGATGGGAAATAGTCTGTGTCCTTGGCTTATATGCCACAGATCCAATTCTGATATCTCTAAATAGGTGAGCATTAGACCCCAGTTGTGATTTCTGGAGAAGCCGGGACAGGAAAGATCATAAAACAATAGGTTAAAAAATATGAGCTGTGTAAGCCGGTTTCCTATTGTATTCCTGTTTGTTCATTTAGAACAATGAGGACTAGAACCTTATGGTATCCTGAAGGAGCACAGTAAAAGTACTTTGATTTGCAGGCCATGGGGGTGAAGGAGTGGCATGTCCCATGCAGAGGTGGTATTCAGCAGGTTCTGACCAGTTCTGGAGAATTGGTAGCAGAAATTTTGGGTAGTTCATAGAACTGGAAAATCCCACCCCTGACTGGCCCCGCCCCCGTCTGTTCTCTGCCTCCCGAGTCCCAGCTGATTGGCTGGGTCTTCTTTTGTTGCCTTGCACAGGAGAATGGAACTGGAAAGCAGGTTGGTGGGGTGGGGTGGGAATGGGGATTTTACAGTAATCTTCCCCCAGGAGTTGGGAGGGAATGGATATTTTACAGCAGGGGTCCCCAACCACCGGGCCGCGGACTGGTACCGGTCCGTGGAACATTTCCTACCGGGCCGCCGGTTTGCTGGGCACCATCTTGTTTGACGAGAAAATGCTTCCGGGTGAGCTTTTCTGGTTGGAAAGCGGCGTTTGGGTCCTCGCGCCTTAGTTTCATCGAAGGGGGGGGGCTTCGAACGAAACTAAGGTGCGAGGATTCTTTCAGCACCCAAGGCAAGGCGACCTGAGCAACCGTCCCGAAGCCATCCCGAAGCGAAGCCCATCGACAAAGGTACAAAGGAGGAGTTGAAGGCGGGGAGAAGCGGGGGACAGCTGGCTGGCCAGTCGCTCGGCTCGCCTTGCCTTGCCATGCGTGCTGATGCCGGTACCGGGCCGCGGATCATTTTGTGATGCCGGTACCGGGCCATGGCACAAAAAAGGTTGGGGGCCACTGTTTTACAGTATCCTTCCCCTACCACACCCACCAAGCCACACCCACCAAGCCAGGCCATGCCCACCAAGCCACACCCACAGAACTAATAGTAAAACAAATTGCATCCCACCACTGGCCCCATGTGGTAAAAGTGGGTTGAAGAGATTTTTTTAATACTCTTTTAATTTTGGGGGGAAAAGAAAGAGGAGAGGGGAAACATTGTGGCTTCTTTCTCACTTGTTAAGCCAGGGGTGTCAAACTCGCGGCCTGTGGGCCATGCCCGGTTTAGCAAAGCGGCGGGGGGGAGTCACAATACGTCACGGGATGACACCGTGACGATGCAAGCAGGGGTCGGATTATACCAGTTCAGACTGGTTTGGATGAAGCACATGCTCACTGAACTGGTTGTTACACCAGTTGATGTGAGTTTGATCCCTCTGTGTTAGGCCTTTACTTAACTCCCTGTTTACATTTGTCAGGACCCGGGACAAGATTGCCATGGTCAATGGCCTCTCCATGGAGAACGTGTCTTCGTCTTTCGCCATCTCCACTTTGAAAACCTGTGGCAAGTTGGCTAATATTGTGAGTGCAGCAGAAGCAGATCTGTTGGAGAAGAAGCAGGACTTCCAAATCTTTTTGTTCTTTTCTTTCTTTCTTTCTTTCTTTCTTTCTTTCTTTCTTTCTTTCTTTCTTTCTTTCTTTCTTTCTTTCTTTCTTCCTTCCTTCCTTCCTTCCTTCCTTCCTTTCTTTCTTTCTTTCTTTCTTTTTTTGCTGGGTTAACCGAGTCTCAGAATGAGCCAAGAAGATGAAGTCAAGTTTGATATTGGTTTAGTATCCTGGCTTGTTCAGATAATGATAGCTTTTCAGTTCAGAAAAATGGAAGTTGAGGTTACGTAAAGATGTTCTGGTTTCTGCACTTAAAGGCAGAACAAAAAGCAACAGATGGAAGCTAATCAAGGAGAGAACCAACCTAGAATTAAGGAGACATTTAGAACAATTAATCAGTGGAAAAGATTGGACAACCATTTCTCTGGAATGGTATAGGGCCGTGATGGTGAACTATGGCACGCGTGCCACAGGTAGCATGCAGAGCCATTTGTGCGGGCGGGTACACGAGCCCCAGGCAAAGTTATCTCACTGCACATGCATGTGTCTCACAGTTGATTTTCAGCCCATTTGAGGCCTTTTTTGGCCTCCCAGCGGCTTGAGGAAAGCCTCTGCAGCCTTTGCAGGCTGAAAAATGGGCCTGTTTCATCACTTCCTGTATTTCCGGAAATACCGGAAGTGACGAAACAGGCCCAGTTTTCAGTCTGCAAAGGCTGCAGAGGCTTTCCTTAAGCCTCTGGGAAGCCAAAAATCAGCTGGGAGGCACAGTGCAGGTAAGGGTGTGGCGGGGGGATTGCGCATGCATGCGTGGGTGGGTGTGCATGCATTGCCTTCTGGGTGCTGGCACACAAGTGCACGTGCACACACAATTTTTGGCACAGGAGTCCAAAAAGGTTAGCTACCACTGGTATAGGGGTTCCTGCTTGAGCAGGGGTTGGACTAGAAGACCTTCAAGGTCCCTTCCAACCTTTTTATTCCGCTATTCTTGTTTCCTTGCTCATCCTGTAAAATAGGAGTGACAGATCTACATGGATCATATTTATACTGTATTTATTTATTGGTATTCCGCCTTGATTATTTTTACAAATCACTCAAGGTAGCAAACATACCTAATACTCCTTTCTCCTCCTATTTCCCTCACAGCAACAATCCTGTGAGGTGGGTTGGACTGAGAGAGAATGACTGGCCCAAAGTCACCCAGAACAGCTATCACGCCTAAGGCGGGATTTGAACTCACCGCCTACCAATCTCTAGCCTGGTGCCTTAGCCATTCGATTAAGCAGGCTGTGCTGTTAAAGTTGATTACCGTTTGTGTACTAGGGAACTGCATCAAATTTCAGTTTCAATAATTTTATAGCCCTCGTTATTTTTTTAACGTTGCGACAAAATCTCTGTCAAGAATCTTGAAAAAAAAAAAGTTGAGGAAAAGAATTGTGCTGGGTGGGACTTGAATATTCTCCTCCCCACAATAGGAAATGTGGACAAGTTGCCTAAAAAAACCCAGCAACTTTTCATACTTCTGTTTTATTTCATCTGATGGGTTTGAATCTTTTTGCTCAGTTTTTGGTGTTTTTTTTAAATTTATTTAATAAAGTGGACAGCCCAGAGCTGTGTTTGTCAACCTTAGTAAGTTTTAACATGTGTGGACTTCAACTCTCAGAATTCCCCAGCCAGCTGGCTGGGGAATTCTGGGAATTGAAGTCCACATATCTTCAAGCTACCACGGTTGAGAAACATTAGCCCAGATGCAAATCCCAGATGCAAATTCTCTTTCTCTTATTGCAGACCGTAAAAAGACCCAGAAAAATCCATCTCCCTGTTACCAAATCCAGCCAGCCAAAAAGCCAGCCTCCCTTGACTCCTACTAAACATGCGACGGATGGGAGAAACGATGACTCGGATGAGGATTATGGGTATCAGGGGGGTGAGTCAGCAGCCTCGGGACGACATCCTGGGAAGAGCCGGCAGCGGACAGAAGCAGAACATAACCGCGGTTACGATGGAGACTCATCCAGCGAGAGAAGTTCGGGACATTATCGTGAGGATGAAAATGACAGCACCCGCAGGCAACCCCTCAGGAGCCGGAGGCGGAGCCAAGAGGGCGGCTACCGGAGGCGGAGCCAAGACAGCGGGTCTGATAAGCCCCCTCTGGCCAATGGGCACCATTACAAAGGAAGCAACAGCGGGCTTGTCCTCATGTCTGGGTTTAAGAGACTGCCAAGGCAGGACGTGCCGATGAAACCCGTCCGCTCAGTTTTGGTGAAACGGAAGGAGAGTGAAGGTGAACGGCTAACTTTTCTTTTTTTTTTTCACCTGTTTATCCTTTTCTGCTTTTCCAAATTAAGATATAGGTAGTCCTCAACTTCAGGGGTGGGCTTCAAAAAATTTAGCAAAAGGTTCTTTGCCCGGTTGCTGGGTGGGTGTGGCCATGGTGGGCGTGGCCTAGCCAGCCTCCTGCACCGCAGCCCAGGGGAGGCGTTTTTGCCCTCCCCCACACTCCGGAGGCTTTTCTCAAGCCTCCGTGAGGGTGAAAACAGCCTCCTTGGGCTCTGGAGGTTCTCTGGAAGTCAGAAACAGGCCCATTTCCAGCCTTCCTGAACTTTCTGGAAGCCCATTTTCACCCTACCTAAGCCTCTGTGCATGCCTGCACTTACCTGCATCCAAAATGGGCCACGTGAGGACACCAGGGAGGGGATGGGGTGGGGCCAGCCAGGAGCGGGATAGGGGGAGTTCTCCAAACTGCACAGAATCTTCGCTAGGGGCTCTCCTGAACCCCTGCAAACCCCCAGCAGCCCAGCCCTGCTCAACTTACAACCATTCGTTTAGTGACCATTTGAAGTTGCAACAGCACTGAAAAAAGTGACTGATGACTGCTTTTCATCCTTACGACCGTGGTAGCATCCCCATGGTCACCTGATCTGAATTCAGATGCTTGGCAACTGGCATGTACTTATGACGGTTGAGGGGTCATGTGATCAATTTTTTGTAACCTGACAAGCAAAGAGTGGGGAAACCAGTTAACAGCCACGTTACTAACTTAACAATTGCATTGATTCACATAACAACTGTGGCAAGAAAGGTCGTGGTATGGGGCAAAACTCACTTAACGATTGTCTTGCTTAGCAATGGAAATTTTGGTTGTAAGTGGAGGATCACCTGTACGCTTCTCTATTTTTTTCTCTGCCACTTTCTCTGCCTAATACAGTTCATGTATCTCAGTTTGTTTTTCAAATTTAGCAAGTTTAACATGGGAGGACTTCAATTCCCAGAATTCCCCTGGGAACTGAAGTCCAGCCATCCCCATTCCCCACCATCCAGTCAGAGCTGAGGAAGCTTCCTGGATGAAATGTCTTCAAAGTAAAACCAGAAAGTCCAGTCGCCTCTTGAAAAAGAGGCACCTTTAGGACAACTGTGACCTGGATGACTGAGAATCTCCATAGACACCCATTTTAAAGCTGCCTAGTTTTAAGAAACACCGATCGGTCTGATCTGCCAACATCCTAATTTTTCACCTGAATGTGACAGACTTGTGCATTCAATGGAAACGTTTGTAAAGTAGTATGAGCTGCGGTGGGGTTAGAATCAGTGGTGGGATTCAAAATTTTTTACTACCAGTTCTGTGGGCATGACTTGGTGGGCGTGGCAGGGGACAGTTACTGCAAAATCCCATTCCTCACCCCACTAACCTGCTTTCCAGCTCCCTTCTCCTGTGCAGGGCAACCAAAGAAGACCCAGCCGATCAGCTGGGACTCAATGGGAGGCAGAGAAGAGATGGGGTTGGCGGGGCCAGTCAGAGGCGGTATTTGCTGGTTCTCTGAACTACTCAAAATTTCCGCTACCGGTTCTCCAGAACTTGTCAGAACCGTCTGAATACCATCTCTGGTTAGAATAAAGTACTGCAGGCTACTTCTGCTGACTGCTGGCTGCCTGTAATTTGGCAAGTTCGGGTCCCACCAGGCTCAAGGTTGACTCAGCCTTCCATCCTTCCAAGGTGGGTCAAATGAGGACCCAGATTGTTGGGGGCAAGAGGCTGATTCTGTAAACGGTTTAAAGCACTGTGAAGCGATACATAAGTCCAAGTGCTATTGCTGATGTTATTGTTAAAGTTAAAATCAAATGATCAAGATAAAGGCCAAACGTGAGTGTTTAAAAGAATAAGTACTTCTAAGGGGCAGCTGTCTGAAATAAAAGACTGTGCCTTATGCATGCAGTCCTTGACTTACAACTGTTCATTTAACATCCATTCAAAGTCACAACAGTAATTCACAACTGGTCCTCAACAACTGTTGCAGCCTTCCCACAGTCATGAGATCAAAATTTGGGCGCTTGGCAAGTGGCATATATTTGCAACGGTTGCTGCATCCTGGGGTCTTACGATTATCATTTGCAAATTTCCCGACTGGCTTCCAACAAGCAAAATCAATGGAGGAAGTTGAATTCACTTAACAGTTGCACGATTCATTAACAACCATGTCAAAAGAGGTTGTAAAACTGGGCATAACTTACTTAACAATTCCCTTGCTTAACAATATAAGTTCTGGTCCCAACTGTGGTCATAAAGTCGAGAACAATCTGTAACAACCATACCCTCCCCCTGCTAAAAGAGGACTTTGTGAATGAGGACAATGTTCATTTTGCTAACTACCCCGTTACAAAATTTCCTTCCTGAAAACCCAAGAATACGGACTGAAGCTGGGCAGCCAGATTTTCATCAAACACATCACCGAGACAGGATTGGCAGCCAAGAATAACTCCCTACAGGAAGGGGACCTTATTCTCAAGGTGAGTTGGAAAAGGTTGCTATGATCACAATCGTTCATGATCTGGTTGTGCCTGTTTATGTTGTTGTGATCCTCTCCATTTTTGAGGAAAGATTCCTGTCATGTCACTGAGAAGAATAGAATAGGATGGGATAGGATAGGATAGGATAGAATAGAATAGAATAGAATAGAATAGAATAGAATAGAATAGAATAGAATAGAATAGAATAGAATAGTTGGAAGGGACCTTGGAGGTCTTCTAGTCCAACCCCCTGCTCAAGCTGGACACCCTGGACCATTTCAGACAAGTGGCTGTCCAATCTCTCCTTTAACCTCTAGCGATGAAGCACCTCCAACTTCTGGAGGCAAGCTGTTCCACTGGTTAATTGTTCTCACTGTCAGGAAGTTTCTCCTGAATTCCAAACGCAGTACAGCCTCCACGCAAACTGCTATTGATTCATTCAGTGATTTTGTTTATTTCTAATTTCTTTAATGTAATCCCCCATCCCACTTGTGATGACTATAGGAGGCCAATAGAGAAGTTGAATGCAACACAATCCCAACGTAAATAAGCATCCATATAGAACAGAATAGAATAGAATAGAATAGAATAGAATAGAATAGAATAGAATAGAATAGAATAATAAGAATAAGAATTAGGATAGGGAATAGAATAGAATAGAATAGAATAGAATAGAATAGAATAGAATAGAATAGAATAGAATAAGAATAAGAATTAGGATAGGGAATAGAATAGAATAGAATTAGGATAGGGAATAGAATAGAATAGAATAGAATAGAATAGAATAGAATAGAATAGAATAGAATAGAATTCTTTATTGGCCAAGTGTGATTGGACACATAAGGAATTTGTCTTGGTGCAAATGCTCTCAGTGTACATAAAAGATACATTTGTCAAGAATCATAAGGTACAACACTTCAAAATAGACGGCAAATATGTCCCTTAGAAGTTATATGGTCATCGTGATATTTTAAAAAAGATACTGAGACAGAGTGCAGAGAAGAGCAACAAAGATGGTTAGAGGACTGAAGGTTGAAATATATAAAGAACGCTTGCAGGAATCTGTCCAGTCTGATGAAAAGAAGGACTAGGGGAGACATGATAGCAGTCTTCCAATGTCTCAGGGGCTGTCACAACAAAGAGGGAGTCAAGCTATTCTCCAAAGCTCCTGAGGGCAGGACAAGAAGCAATAAGGATGGAAACTAATCAAGGAGAGAAGCAACTTAGAACTAAGGAGAGATTTCCTGACAGTTAGAACAATCAAGTTGTGAGTGCTTCATAACCGGAGGTTTTTAAGAGGACTGAATTTTGTTTGAAATGCTATAAAGTCTTCTGCCATCCTTCCGAGGTGGGTAAAATGGGGATTGTGATTGTTGGGGGCAATAGGCCGACTCTGTAAACTGCTTAGAGAGGGCTGTAAAGCACTGTGAAGCGGTATATAAGTCTAAGTGCTATTGCTGTTGGTATTGCTATATACCGAATCATAGTACTTTACAACCTTAAGTGGTTTAGAGTCAGCCTATTGCCCTCAACAATTCTGGGTCCTCATTTTACAAACCTTGGAAGGATGGAAGGCGAAATCAACCTTGAGCCGTTCAGGATCGAACTGCTGGCAATGGGCAGAGTTAGCCTGCAATACTGCATTCTAACCACCGTGCCACTATGGCTCATCTTGCTCCTGACATGAGGTGGGGATAAGCTTTTGAGCAAAGAAAACATTTACTTGGCCTGACTCCTTTCTTTATCTCTTCCAGATCAACGGTGTCATCAGCCAGAACATGTCTTTGGAAGAGACGCGGCAGCTGATCGAACAGTCTGAGGGAAAACTTACCTTACTTGTTTTACGTGATAACAGCCAGTTCTTGGTCAACATCCCTCAAGTGAGAGACAGCGATACTGAAAGTTCCCACCTGGATGGTGAGGAGGGACTCGGGAGAAAACCTGGGGTGGGAAAGAGGATGTGGCGGGAAATGGAAGTGGATTCCTGAGGTTGCCGAGATAGAAATAGCAGTAGCTTTTAGACTTATATACCGCTCCATAGTGCTTTACAGGCCTCTCTAAGCAGTTTACAAAGTCAATATTAGCATTCCAAGTAACGCATCTGCCAAAAGCAGAAATCCGAGGCAAGTAGATTCCTCAAAGAATCTGTTTATTGGATACATCAGATTGGCACAGCTATTGAAAACCAACTCTAAACGTTCCCCTGGTTTTCCCCCTAATTAAAAGAGCAAATATTTTCCAAAAACTTTAACCTTAGACTGTCTACTCTTGACCTCACCCCTTTCCTAAGAGGTCTGTAGGGGGCGTGCATAAGCGCACCAACGTGCCTACCGTCCCTGTCCTATTGTTTCTTTTATTTTTCTTATATGTACCCATTTCATGTATTCATAACTATGTTTTTACTTATACCTATTGTCTTGTAAGCAATTGACAAACCAAATAAATAAATAAAATAAATAACTAAATCATGGTTTGTAAAAACAACCAGACAAACCACGCAATGACTTCCTACTTTGTCCAAATTTATCAGATTCATTTGCTTCTAAGTAGAGGAATTTTAATCAGAACAAAGTATCTGTCTTGTATAATTCTAGTTACTTTTCTGGGTTTTTTTAAGATATATCTGATCTTGGTTCAGACATCTCGCCTCCCGCTCCTGTGGGAAGTACACCCCATTCTCCTCAATCTCCAACAACGGATTCTCTCCGGTAAGAATCTCTCCCAAAGTCTTATAATTAACTTTTAAGACTTCTGGACTTCAATGTCCAGAATTGCCCATCCAGCATGGTTGAAGCCCAGGAGTCTTAAAAGTTGCCAAGATTGGAGACCTCTGATTTAAATAATGATTGCAAAAGATACCCTGGAGAGCTTTAAGATATTATTCTTTCCCTCAAATTATTATTCTGGCTTTTGTCTTCTTTTCTCAACCCACCCACCTGGCCAGATCAAACAGGGGTTACAGCAGACAAGAGACAGCAACGGAAGAGTTGACTTCACCACCAGTTCTTAGTAAGTGCCTTGAACTTAGCTTCTCTTGTAAGGTCGATGATAATGAGCAATGTCTCTTGAGGGGGAAAAATATGGGGTCACTTGCAAACACAGACATCCTCGTCCTCATTATTATTATTACTATTATGGTTGATTGCACCGTCAGCCAGATGTTTAGATTAGACTTGGCATTTTTGTCCACCCATCAAGTCTTTCCCAAAGACCTGGGATAGGCAGATGTTGATGTTTGATGGTGTTGAAGGTATAGTTGCAGGATGTAAGCTTTTCCAAGTCAAGCTGCCTTTTGCAATTGACCAGTGGGGATTTTGTCAGTGTTGATGGTGTTCAAGTGGTGCTCCAGACATTTTGGAATTAAACACTCAAGGCCCCTATTGCTATTCATACTATCTTTGCTTTCTTTTGCCACTGTTGTTCTACTTCTAATTGCAGGTCATTGTATCTTGTGATTTTCTCCTGTTCTTCCTCTTCTACCCTGCTGTCTTATTCTGCTGTATTGTACAGGCAGTCCTCGACTTACAACAGTTCCTTTAGTGACCATCCAGTGGCACTGAAAAAAAGTGAGCTTTGCCCCCTTTTCACGACCTTTCTTGCCACAGTTAAGTGACTCCCTTGCAGTCGTTAACTTAGCAACACGGTCGTAAAATGAATCTGGCTTCCCCATTGACTCTGCTCTTCAGAAGGTCGCAAAAGGGGATCACATGACCCCAGGAAACTACAATGGTCATAAATATGAGTCAGTTGCAAACTGTCTGAACTTCATGAGACCGTGGGGATGCTGCAATGGTCGTAAGTGTGAAAAATGGTCATATGTCACTTTTTTCAGTGCTGTGGTAACTTTGAAGGATTACTAAATGAACTGTTGTAAGTTGATGACTACCTGTATTTTAGGTTTCATACTGCATATTTAAAAAGGACACAGTGGCTCAGTGGCTAAGATGCTGAATTTGTTGATCAAGAAGGTCAGCAGTTCGGCGGTTCGAATCCCTAGCACTGTATAATGGAGTGAGCTCCCGTTACTTGTCCCAGCTTCTGCCAACCTAGCAGTTCGAAAGCATGTAAAAATGCAAGTAGAAAAATAGGGACCACTTTGGTGGGAAGGCAATAGCATTCCATGCGCCTTTGGCATTTAGTCATGCCAGCCACATGACCACGGAGACGTCTTCGGACAGCGCTGGCTCTTCGGCTTAGAAATGGAGATGAGCACCATCCCTTAGAGCCTGAGACGACTAGCCAGTATGTGCGAGGAGAACCTTTACTTTTTACTGCATATTTTTATCTCTTGTGTTTTTATCAAAATGTGAGGTGAATGTGCCATATGATAAATAAATAATTCCGTGGGTTCTTTCTACCCTCTTCTAGATCCCGAGGAATCCCCCACCGATGAGTACAATTTCCAAGGAAATAATTCCATGATGCAAAATGACAGGATTTCGGGGTAAGCTCCACATTGGCAGACTCTTTTTGGCATGGCAGAATCCAGACACAAGACTGTGGATTTGAACCACATTCTGTTTTTGCAGGTACAGCCCCGATTTGAAGGTGGTGCGTTTTGTCAAAGCCAAGAGCATCGGGCTCCTTCTTACCGGTGGAAACGACGTTGGGATATTTGTGTCTGGCGTGCAGGAGGGCAGCCCGGCTGAGATGCAAGGCATCCAAGAAGGCGACCAAATCCTTCAGGTATCTTAGGGGTGGGAACTATGACTTATGAGCTACCTCTGACCTTGGTAGATGTCGAATCTTGGGTTATGTGCTTGAATGATTACTGGCTCCAAAGGAGAAAACTAGAAGTAATGGAAGGAAAGTGTAAAGCAGGGGACTCCAACCTTGGCAACTTTAAGACCTGTGGACTTCAAAGCCGGCTGAGGAATTCTGGGAGTTGAAGTCCACAGATCTTAAAGTTGTCAAGGTTGGAGACTCCTGGTGTAGAGAGCCAGTTTGGTCTTATGGTTAATGCATCAGGCTAGAAAGCGGGGAAACTCTGAGTTCTAGACCTGCCTTAGTCATGAAAGCCAGCTGGGTGACTTTGGGCCAATCACTAGGAGACTGAGAGTTCTAGTCCTGCCTTAGGCATGAAAGCCAGCTGGGTGACTTTGGGCCAATCATCAGGAGACTGAGAGTTCTAGTTCCACCTTAAGAATGAAAGATGGCTGGGTGACTTTGGGCCAATCACCAGGAGACTGAGAGTTCTAGTCCCGCCTTAGGCTGATAGCAGATTAACAGAGTTGGAAGGGACCTTGTAGACCTTCTAGTCCAAGCCCCGCCCAAGCAGGAGACCCTACACCATTTCTGGCAAATGGCAGTCCAGTCTCTTCTTGGAAGCCACCAGTGATGATGCTCCCACAACTTCTGATGGCATGAAAGCCGGCTGGGTGACTTTGGGCCAATCATCCGGAGACTGAGAGTTCTAGTCCCGCCTTAGGCATGAAAGTCAATTGGGTGACTTTGGGCCACTCACTCTCTCTCTCATCACAAGCCACTTTATAGGGTTGTTGTTGTGGGGAAAATAGGGAGGAGGAAGGTGTGTTGGATATGTTCGCCCACCTTGAGTTATTTGTAAGAATTATGAAAGGTAAAGGAATCCCTGCACATTTTACTCCAATAGTGTTGCTAACTGTAGGGGACAGTGCTAATTCCAGTTGCAAGGCCATTGAGCCAGCTGTCAGGGCTCCAACAAATCCACCCCCATTCAAATCATAAGTCTCTAGCCACATCTCTCAGAGTAAAAAAATTGATTTATTAGGAGTGGCCATGTTGGCGTTAGCTGGGTGCAGCCGACACTAAAATACATCATTCATTTCCCCCTTGACCCTGGTCTTCCCCCCACCCCCTGGATGTATATTCTCCAATGGGACACATCCATAGCCAATAGTCATCAATCATGCTTTCCAGTGATATTCCTGTGCACCGACAGCTTTGGGCTGCCAAGATGATTATCTAAGGCATTTGAGGAATGCACAGATTCCCCCCATTCTCTTTCTGCTGGCAACTAAAAAGACCAAAGGAGCATCTTTTTTTTTAGTGGACACCCGCGCTGTCTGAAGAATTTCCACGGTCATATGGCCAGCATGAGGTCACAGAGTGCTGTGACCTTCACACCAAAGTGGTACCTATTTATCTATTTGCACTTGCATGCTTTCGAACTGTTAGGTTTGCAGGAGCTGAGGCGAGGACAGGAGCTCACCCTGCCTTGTGGGGCTCGGGCCTCGAACCTGGGCTGCTGGCTTTTCCAGCCGCACAAGCCCAGCATCTTAACCACCAAGCCACAGTGCTGCCCTAATAAAAATAATAAAGGTGGGATACAAATCAATCAATCAATCAATCAAATGTAGTTACAGACGAGACCAGTGTTTCTCAACCTCGGCCATCACTTTTAAGATTTGCGGACCTCAACTCTGCACGTCACCTTGAGTTTCTGAATGCAAGGCAATGTACCTCAAATAGTAATCATTGCAAGATCAACACAGATGGGCAAACGAGGTGGGCAGTGCTGGGCCAACCCGCTTTTGCCCCTTTCTTTCGGCAGGTGAACGAGAAGCCCTTCCAGAACTTGACACGGGAGGATGCTGTGCAGTACTTGATGGAGTTGCTCCCAGGGGAAGAAGTGACCTTCCATGTTCAAAACAAACAGGACAGTAAGTGATTTATTCCTCATTGGTAGATTTTTTTTTTGTCCCTCTTTTCCCTCCCACGTGTGCGTTTCCGGTCAGGGGATGTGGTTATGGGGAAGTTAGCACCCTTAAACTTGGAATCCTGCATCCAGTTTTGGTCACCGTGATGTAAGAATGATGTTGAGAGGCTAATAAAGATCAACAAAGATTATTATCAGAGAAGAGCAACAAAAATGATCAGGGAACTGGAGGCTAAAACATATAAAAACGGTTGCTGGAATAGGGATATGACTAGTTTGATGAAAAGGACTATGTGTAACATGGTAGCAGTCTTCCAATATCTCAGCGGTTACCACAAAGAAGAGGGAAGTCAAGTTATTCTCCAAAGCACCTGAAGGTAGGATAAGAAGCAATGGGTGGAAACTAATCAAGGAGAGAAGCAACCAAGAACTAAGGAGAAATTTCCTGACATTTAGAACAATCAGATCAGTGGAATAACTTGCCTCCAGAAGCTGTAAAATTAATGCTCCAACACTGGAAGTTTTTAAGATGAGGTTGGACAGCCATTTGTCTGAAATGGGGTAGGGTTTCCTGCCTAAGCAGGGGGTTGGGCTAGAAGACCTCTAAGGTCCCTTCCGACTCTGATATTCGGTTAAGCCTTCTATCAAAAAGAATCAGCCCCACAAATCCAACCCAGCCAGACAAGCAACTGAGGCTCCTGAAAATCAGATGAATGGATAAAAAGAGGGATGGATGAAAAGGTGGATATACGGATACCTGCCTTTAAAAAGAAATTGCCCACCTGTGTTTTATCAATATTCCAAAATGCCATCAACTCCAGTCACGGGTGGAGAATTCTTCCCTTTTTAATAAATAAATAAATAAATGTGTAACAATATGTGTAACCGTAAGGTAGGCTGGGCTGAGCAGGAATGAGAGCTTCCCATTGGTCTCTTTTCCCTAGTTTACAAGAAGATGGTCAAATCCAACCTGGGAGATTCGTTCTACATCCGCACCCACTTTGATTTTGAGAAAGATACGCCTTCCGCCCTGAGCTTTACGCGGGGAGAAGTCTTCCACGTGGTGGACACGATATACCGGGGGAAATTAGGAAGCTGGCTGGCTCTGCGGATCGGAAAGGAACTTCAAGAGCTGGACAAGGGCATTATCCCAAACCAGAGCAGGTAGAAGCGTATGTTTTCCGCCGGGGAAGCTTGTCGATTTTTAAAGATTTTTTTTAAAAAGGGACCGGATGGTCATTTGTCTGAAATGAGCAAGGGATTGGACTGGATGACCTCCAAACAGGGGTGGGCTGCTGGGGCGGGGGGGTTCGCAGGGATTCGGGAGAGCCCCTAGCTAAGATTCTGTGCAGTTCGGAGAACCCCACAAATCCCTCTCCTGGCTGGCCCTGCCCAACCTGCCCCTCCCCTCCCAGGAGTCCCCACGCGGCCCATTTTGGATGCAGGTAAGTGCAGGGCATGCATGGAGGCTCAGGGAGGGCAAAAAACGGGCCTCCTGGAAGTTCAGGAAGCTGGAAAAGGGCCTGTTTCCGGCTTCCAGAGAGCCTCCGGAGCCTAGAGAGGCCGTTTTCACCCTCCCGGAGGCTTGAAGTAAGCCTCCAGAGCCCGGGGAGAGCACACACCCCGCCGTGGTGCAGGAAACCGACTAGGACCATGGCCACGCCCACCCAGCAACCAGGCAGAAGAACCCTTTGCTAAAATTTATGAAGCCCACCCCTGCCTCCAACATCCCTTCCAGCTCTGTTATTAATATTTTCGCTGTCCCTATTGGTAAGGTGACCAACTTTTTTACAATGAGAAGGAGGACACCAATAAATTGAAGGAAAAAAACCAAACAAAGCCACTTGCGCGTGGCGCACTCTCTCAAAATAATTCTCCTGTGTGGAGCGCATGCGTCTCATAATCGCGTCTCGCCGCGCTGTCCCGAGCCTTGACGAATCGTCATGTCAAATACAAATACGTCACATCAGACACAACGGATCAGCTTGGCATCGATCAAATAGGGAGATTTACAGATTAGTCTTCAAATATCAACAAGGAGGACATGCAGGAGGACACTTTTCGTGGGAGGACAGAACTTACAAAACGAGGACTGTCCTCCCTAAAGGAGGATGGTTGGTCACCTTACTGATGGGGAATCTGCTCCATAATCAGTGCAAAAAAAATGAATTCCAAGCAGGGGTGGCATAAGTAAAAATACAAATGTCACTTTCATTATTAATTGTTAGTTTAAAAAAAAAAATAACAGCCAAGAAACAGCTGGATGCTGTCCCTCAGTTCTTGGTCTGTAAAAGCTGGGCTGTCTGGCTTGGTTTTAGTTGGCAAACATGGAACCAGACTTTGTAAAGTCTTATTAATTTTATGTTTATCTTTTTACCATTTTGTAAGCCACCCAAAGTTGCCTTGGAAGTGAGATGGGCTGCGTGCTGAATAAATTGAATAAATAAATAGAAAGTGTAAATAAACTGAGCATATGTAATGCAAGCTCTACCCCTTAAGTCAAGGGTGGCTAACTTTTTTGGGCTCCTGCGCCAAAAATTGTGTGTGCATGCACGCTTACGAGCCAGCACCCAGAAGATAATGCATACGCCCCCACCACGCCCCCTGCGCATGCACACGCAATCCCCCCCTCCGCCACCTTACCTGCACTGCGCCTCCCAGCTGATTTTGGCCTCCCAGAGGCTTGAGGAAAGCCTCTGCAGCCTTTGCAGGCTGAAAAATGGTCCCGTTTTGTCACTTCCTGTATTTCCAGAAATACAGGAAGTGATGAAATGGTCCTATTTTTAGCCTGCAAAGGCTGCAGAGGCTTTCCTCAAGCCTCTGGGAAACCAAAAAAGGCCTTAAACAGGCTGAAAATCAGCTGTGAGGCCCGTGCATGCGCAGTGAGGTAACTTTGTCTGTGAGGTAACTCTGTGTGCCACCTGTGGCACGCCTGCCATAGGTTCGCCATCACGGCCTTAAGTGATGTCAAAGTGCAGGCATTTGAAGGAAGCAATTACAGGTAGTCCTTGACTTAGAATTAATCATTTAGTGACTGTTCAAAGTTACAACAGTACTGAAAAAAAGTGACTTACAACCAGTTCTCACAACCTACATAGCATCCCCAACAGTCATGTGATTGAAATGTGGGTGTTGTAAATGTTTTAAAATTGGGTGAGACTCACTTAGCAACTGCTTTGCTTAACACCAGAATTTCTTATTTTAATTGTGGTCATGAGTCGAGGACTACCTACAGTATATGACAATGTTTATTCAGATTTTCTGTTCTCAGGAATCCTTCATGCTTTTAAAAACTTATGGAGCTCCCCCAAAACGTTTGGTCTGTGTGGGTTATATTTATCAACATATGCCAGATTAAAAATTAAATGAACACATTTGTAAGTACTTATTTATTGAAATGTAAAATAACACTATAAAACCCATTAGACCGTAACATACAATATTTCCATGAAAAACCCCGTATTTTTAGCAAATAAAAAATAATTAGAAGAGTGACATTGTTTACTATTTTCAATATTATATATTCAAATATCTTCAATATTGAGTAAATAATTTTGATTATGCAAACCCCTATGAGAATTTGGGGTAAAGACCCCCAGTGATCCTCAGACCACCTTTTAAGACACCCTAAATTATAGCATATCTGACCGAGTAGTTATGTCACTGTGTAGAGGTAAGTCCTCAACTTATGACCACAGTCATCATCATCATCATTTAACGACCCATAATCCATTGTGTGGGGGATTTGGGGCAAGTGAATGGAGCTAGCAGAGTGTTTTAATGGCCGGGTGCCTTTCCTACCGCCAGTGCGGAGTTTTGGTCAGCAGATATAGTCTCAGTGTGCCCAGAGAGAGAAATATCTGCCTCTACCTAGGATCGAACTCACAGCCTCCTGATTGTGAGATGAAAACTCCACCTCAAGGCCACTGCAACACTCTAACTTATGACCACAATGGAGCCCAACATTTGTAAGTCATAAGTCACTTTTTTCAGTGCCGTTGTAGCTTATCCCAACTCTATTGCAATTCTCTTCTCCAGCCATGGCTTGACCCTGTATCAGGGTTGGTTTTAACCAGCTGCTTTAATTGGGAGAACTAGGTGGCTTCTTCCATCTTTTGTCCCCCTGATCTCAGCCGTTTTTGACCCCAGGGCAGAACAGTTCGCCAGTCTGGAATCGGTTCTCAAAACGACGTCAAAGACCTCCAATGCTTTAGGGGCTCGTGCAGAGTTCTGGAAACTCCGAGGTTTGCGGGGAGCCAAACGGATGCTGCGCAAAAGCCGGGAAGATCTGTCAACCCTTACCAAGCAGGGCCACTATCCGCCTTACGAGAAGGTTGTACTCAAGGAAGGTAGGTGCTTGTAGTAGTGAAGGAGGAGATATGTTGCAGATATGTAGGCCTCGATTTACAATTAGAATTGTTCTAAGCATTCTAAATGGTCTGTGATTAATATGTATATCTCTCTCTCTGTGTGTGTGCATATCTATTTCTATCTGTCTGTCTATCTATCTATCTATCTATCTATCTATCTATCTATCTATCTATCATCTATCTATATCTATAGATAGATGATAGATAGAATCTATCTATCTGATCTATCTATCATCTATCTATATCTATAGACAGATGATAGATAGAAGATATAGAAAGATAGATAGATGATGGATAGATGATAGAAGATATAGATCAGGGGTGTCCAACCTTTCACCTTCCCTGGGCCACATTAGAAGATGAAAATTTGATTTGGGCCGCACATAAAATAAAATAACAGTAACGATACCCGATCATCCCCAAAAACCATAGAAAACATAGTTAACATATTAAATTTATTTGGAAATAAAGTTAGTGAGATGTTTTTATTATTTATTATTAATTATTTATTTAAAATTATTTATTTTTTATCACGGTTTTTTTATCACAGTTTTTTTAATCACAGTTTATTTTCCGGCCAAATTTTTTGGGGGGGAGTGGGGGAGAAAGCTCGCCTGCCTCACGCCTACCTCCTCCTGCAAATAGCCCGGCTGGATGAGGCAGGACTGGAAGGCAGAAGCAGCAGCAGCGGCAGCGGGGGCAGAAGCAGCGGCGGGGGAAGGCTTCTGCCCCCGCCGCCGCCACCGCTTCTGCCCCCGCCGCCGCTGCTGCTTCTGCCCCTGCCGCTGCTTCTCCCCCCGCCACCGCTGCTGCTTCTGCCACCGCCGTTTCTGCCGCCGCCGCCGCTTCTTCCCCCGCCGCCGCCGCCGCCGCCGCTTCTTCCCCTGCCACCGCTGCTGCTTCTGCCGCCGCCGCTTCTTCCCCCGCCACCACCGCCGCCGCCGCTTCTTCCCCCACCACCGCTGCTGCTTCTGCCGCCGCCGTTTCTGCCCCCGCCACCAACCCCGCCGCCGCCGCCGCTTCTTCCCCCGCCACCGCCACCGCTTCTTCCCCCGCCGCGGGGGCAGCGCCGGCAGGGGCAGAAGCAGCAGCGGTGGCGGGAGAAGAAGCGGTGGCGGCGGGGGCAGAAGCGGCGGGAGAAGAAGCGGCGGCGGCGGGGGCAGCAGCAGCGGTGGGGGCAGAAGCAGCAGCAGCAGTGGCAGGGTAGAAGCGGCGGGGGTGGCGGCGGGGCAGAAGCGGCGGGGGTGACGGCGGGGCAGAAGCGGTGGGGGTGGCGGTGGGAGAAGAAGCGGTGGGGGCAGCAGCAGCGGTGGGGGCAGAAGCAGCAGCAGGGGCAGGGCAGAAGCAGCGGGGGTGGCGGCGGGGCAGAAGCGGCGGGGGTGGCGGCTGGGGCAGAAGCGGCGGCAGCGGGGGCAGCAGCGGCGGCGGGGGCAGAAGCAGCAGCGGTGGCAGGGGCAGAAGCGGCGGCGGTAACAGCAGGAGGTGGCACTCTGACGGCGCCCGCCTTTTCTGTTGCTGCTTGGCCTGGCGCTCGCCTCGCCCCGCCTCGCGCCTGCCTCTCCTTCTCCTTCTTGCTGGCTGTGGCACGATGGTTGGGGTAGGCATTGGGCCGCATTACGAGGCGACCTGGGCCTCATGCGGCCCGTGGGCCGCGGGTTGGACAAGCCTGATATAGATAGATGATAGATAGATGATAGATAAATAAATAATAGATTGATCGATAGATGATAGATAGCAATAGCACTTAGACATATATACCGCTTTATAGTGCTTTATAGCCCTCTCTAAACAGTTTACAGAGTCAGCCTACTGGTCCCAACAATTTGGGTCCTCATTTTACCAACCTCAGAAGGACGGAAGGCTGAGTCAGCCTTGAGTCTGGTGAGATTTGAACTGCCAAATTGCAGGCAGCTGGCAGTCAGCAGAAGTAGCTTGCAGTACTGCACTCTAACCATTGCGCCACCGAGGCTCATATAGATAACTGGATGGATGGATGGATGGATGGATGGATGGATGGACGAACGGACAGACAGACAGACAGAAATATTTGAATAAATGATACTGTGTGTGTGTGTGTGTGTGTGTGTGTGAGAGAGAGAGAGAGAGAGAGAGAGAGAGAGTTTTTTTTCTTTTCTTTTGTGAGCAGGCATCAGAATTGCATAGTTTAATGTTTCCAGTGTGTTCACAGAAAAAAATGTGACAATAAAGCTTATCTCGTCCTGTCCTGTCCTGTCCTGTCCTGTTCTGGTCTGTTCTGGTCCTGTCCTGGTCCTGTTTTGTCTTGTCCTTGTCTTGTCAATTGGGACCAGAATTTCCATTGCTAACCAAGACAATTTGAAGTGAGTCACACCCTATTTTGTGAACGTTTTTGCCTGAGTTAAGAAAATCTCTACAGTTGCAAAGTGAGTCACACATTCATTAAGTGAATCCAGCTTCTCCCAGTGACTTTGTTTGTTGGAAGCCAGCTTGGAAGGTCCCTTGGATGATGCCACCATCATGAAAATATCCCCGTTGTATCATGTAACCATGGGGATGCTGTAAAGATTCATAAGAGTGAAAAACGGTCATAAGCCATTTTTTTCCACTGCTGTTGTAACTTCAAACCGTCACTAAACAAATGCTAACAAGTCAAGGACTACCTGGCTACCTTTTTCAGTTTCGCACATAACCCTGAACATATTGGGTTGCTTGAAGCACTGCTAAATCATTTTTCGAAGGATGCCAAACCCTAAAAAAAAAAGGAAGGCAATACTTCCTCTGATGTCTTTCTCCTAATCTCTTGTGGACTAGAAACTTGATTTACAAGGTGCTTTTTCTCATGCAGCCACTTTTAAGCGTCCTGTGGTGATCCTGGGCCCAATTGCTGACATCGCCATGCAGAAACTGAGCACGGAGATGCCAGATCAATTTCAGATTGCAGGTGAGTGTGCTTGAGTTACAAGGACGAGGAGCGGCATTTCCTACCTAGTGGATCTCGGGCCCTGTTGGAACTCTCTACTGCTCTAGCTGTGCCTTGAAATCCCCCCAAGTTCAGCATTTTTTCCACTCTGGCCACTTGAAGATGGCTTTAAGGCTTCTCCCACATTAAGACTTCAACTCCCAGAATTCCTCAGCCCTAATGGTTGTAAGTTGCAAGGACCGGTTTCAAGTCTCTACTTGAGCACTGTTGTAACTTTGGTCATAAATGAATAATTGTAACTCAAGGCGTAGCTGTATTCTCAAATCTCTTTCTCCCTCTCTCTGTTTTTTTAGAGAGTGTTATCAGAGATGGAGGAACATCCAAAGTGATCAAACTGGACACCGTGTGGCAAATTGCAAAGCAGGTGAGGAAATGAAATGGTGATGGAAATAACATAATGAAACTTTTAATGTTGGTGTTTAAAATTATAGTCCTGGGCAGACATTCTAAGAGAATAACAGAAGAATTGGAAGGGACCTTGGAGGTCTTCTAGTCCAGGGGTCGCCAACCTTTTGGACCTCAGGGACCACCAAACTCATAATTTTAAATCCTAGGGACCACTAACTGGTTCTGTGGGCGTGGCCTAATTTGTGGGTGTGGCTTGGTGGTCATGTGACTGGCTGGGCATGGCTTGTATGTAAATATTATAAGTATTTATATAAATATTGATTTTTTTATACAAAGAGCAAGTTTTACCCAAAATCAGGCAAAGCAGGCAGGCAGATTGAGTTGCTCACAAAATCACAGATTCATTCAGAGATCTATCTATCTGCCATCGGCTATCTGAGTCTGTCACATAAAATTTGCTTGCAAGCAAACTCACAAAATTAACTCACAACACACCATGTATATAAATACATTTTTTTATTAAATGAGCAACTTTTACCCCAAACCAGGCAAAGCAGGCAGACAGATTGAGTTGCGCACAGAATCACAGCTTCATTCAGTGATTTATCTATCTACCATCGGCTAGCTCAGTCTGTCACATAAACTTTGCTAGCCTTGAGTCTGCACTGAATAATAGAACCTTCAGTCCTAAGGGAGGTTTGGCTTAAAAGCAGAGCTGAAGATCTAAAGACTAGCTAAAAAAGCAAGAAATCCAACCATTTCCTGCTTCCTAGCTAATCTAAATCTCCCCAAACAGCAGAACAGATGATGGTTGGAAAAAGGAAAAATAGAAATTTAGCAGGCAAGTTTGCTGGGTAAGGAGTGAGTGGCCGGGGAGAGTTCCCGCGGGCCATGTGGGTGGCGCTGTCTTGTGTTTCTGCGCAGCCTGGATTAATTGCTTTGTGGGGGATGCTCTGGGGGTGAGATTTCTCTGTGGCTCACCGGTGGACTGTGGCCCACCGGTTGGTGACCGCTGTTGTAGTCTAACATCCTGTTCAAGCAGGAAACCTTTTACCATTGGAGTTAAACGGCTGTCCAGTGTCTTCTTAAAAACTTCCAGTGTTGGAGCATTTACAACTTCTGGAGGCAAATTGTTCCACTGATTAATTGTTCTAACTGTCAGGAAATTTCTCCTTAGTTCTAGGTTGCTTCTCTCCTCGGTTAATATCCATCCATTGCTTCTTGTCCTGCCTTCAGGTGCTTTGGACAGTAGCTTGACTACCTCTTCTTTGTGGTAGCCCCTGAGATATTGGAACACCTATTATGTCACCCTTAGTCTTCATTAAACTAGACATACCCAATTCCTGCAACCATTCTTCATACGTTTCAGCCTTCAGCCCCCTAGTCATCTTAGTTGCTCTTCTCTGCGCTCTTTCTAGAATCTCAACGTCTTTTTTCAAATCAAAATCAAATCAAATCAAGCTTTATTATCAGAGTAGAACATGTGTGTCAGCTTTGGAAGCCATGTTGAGGTCCGATGCTCCCACGCTGCCACATCTGAGCCTGAGAATGTGAGAGAGGGGAATATATTCAAGTATATCTAGTTATACCTCATAACATTTTTTTTCTGAGTCAAGGTCAGGTTGTGTTGCGCATAACTGAGAGGGAGTCTTAACTGGAGATGGATAGTGATCGATTGGGCCATGTGGCGGATGATTGGTGCAGGGGTTGGATTTTGTAGTTTTTACTTATTGTAAGGAAGCCCGGAACTTTCAGATTCGGGATTCCACAGTTGTGCCAGTTACTATCCAAATAAAAAGGAACTTTTGAGAAGAGGTCTGTCTCTGAGTTATTGGTTGGAAGGGAGTGTTGCTGGAACATTGACATTGTGTACAATGAGATTGGCTGAGCCTCCCTTCGTGCATACCTCACACCCCCAATACTACTCACAGTGAAGACAAAAAAGAAATTCCCCAATCCAGTGAGTCATACTAACACACACACATACACAATCTTATTGCACCATGTGAACTTATTGCACAACACATCAGCCCCACAAGCCTATCATACTATGTTAACATGAAATTATTTTCCATGTTTACATTCATGGCGACCAAAACTGGATTCAGTATTCCAAGCATGGTCTTATCGAGACATTATTGTAAAGCGTTACTAACATTTCACATCTCTTTTTAACAGGATAAACATGCATTGCTCGATATCACACCAGCTGCTGTAGAACGTCTCAATTATGTGCAGTATTTCCCCATTGTGGTCTTCTGTGAGCCGGACAGCCGGCAAGGAATCAAGGCCATGAGGCAGTGGCTGGTGCCAGATTCCAAGAAGAGTTCGCGGCGCCTCTTTGCGCAATCCTCCAAGATGCAGAAGCATTGCAGCCACCTCTTCACGGCCACCATCAGCCTCGCTGGAGGGTCCAACAACTGGTACCAGACCCTGAAGGAGATTATCCAAATTGAGCAGGCCCGCCCTGTCTGGATGACGGAAGAACAGGTAGGTGGGCACAATCACAGGGGAGTCAGGTTTTAACCTAGCTTGTAGGCAGCGAGGCAAGTTTCCCCATCCTGATGCTCTCTGGATTCATGACAACTGCTTCCAGAGTTCCAGCGTGTGGAATGCTGCAGTAATATAACTTTAAAATCCAGATTGCAGTCCAGATTGGGTGGCTCTGCAACGTGTTAGCTTTTTAGTCCAAAGGAAGTTGTTGTTGTTTTTAAAAATCTAGGTTATTTATTATCTGGTAAGAAAAGTTTTCTATTTAGTCTGCTTTTCATTTTTTTTTTATATTAGACATGAATCATTTATTTTATTAAGCTTCTTTGAATAGCTTATCCGAAACCTCTTTAAGTTTCTCAAGGGTCGTCTTCCAAAGTCTGTTGCAACCAATGTCAATTCTGAAATGAACCTGGCGGAAGCCGTCTTGTGCGATGTCAAAGTTGCCATGAAGTCTGAGACGGGGAAGATGCGGTGGGAAGTAGATAACCCAGCTCCAGTCAAAACCAAAAGTTTTCCTGTGGGAACCAAAGTCATTCAAACAGGTGGTCATTGAAAGAAGAGAGGAGCCTGCCTTCCATCCTCATTGGACAATGTGACCAGTGACACCTGAGAGGGGGGAATTTGATTCCTTTAATTAGTTGAAAACCGCAAAAACTGTCAGAGTTGGTTTAATGTCAGCCTGTTCTGACCAAGGCTTCCTAGACCATAACAACGCACACGCTTATTTTAAAAACAAGACTTATTTTATTGCAAGGCTGGGAATTGTTTTCATTCCCAGCCAGAATTAATCTCAAACAGTCCCTAGAGCTAGGCACCCACCTTTCTTTTCTGTGAAGTGCTGCCAATAACAGAAGTATCAAATGAACTAGAAAAAAATACCAACCCAAGTACAAAGAGCTTCAAGAATGAGTCTGAACCGAACGAACAACTTTGCTTCCTGCAAAGTTTTCGTCATCTTTGCCTGACCTTTATACCTTATGGGAGGGGCAATCACCTCCCAGGCTTACTCCCGAGTCGCCCCTTTTGTTTCAGTTGTTCTTGCCTTCTAGCAGCTCTGTGCACACGCGCACTGGGAACAGGCTCCCCTGGTTCCTCTGCCTCGCTGCTGCCAGACTCCAGAGGCTCCAGAGGCAGCACCCTGCTCCCAGATGGTCCTGGCCTCATGTCTGCATCGGATGCAGGGCCCTCATCTGAGTCCTCTCCAGACTCCCGGACTGGTCCCCATTCTTCCCCACTGTCCGATTCCACTGTCGTCTGCACAGGCTGCTGGCAAACCACAACACAGCCTTTCAAGTAATGCACCCAGTGAAAGCATAACTCGGAGGCAGGTAGATTCCTTAAAGAATATGTTTATTTGCATACATCATATCGGCATAGCCGGTGAAAACCAACTCCGACAGTTCCCACGGTTTTCACCTAATTAAACGAATCAAATTTCCCCCTCCCAGGTGTCACTGGTCACATTGTCCAATGAAGATGGAAAGCAGGCTCCTCTTCTCTTTCAATGGCCACCTGTTTTAATGACTTTGGCTCCCACAGGAAAACTTTTTGTTTTGACTGGATCTGAGCTATCTACTTCCCCCGTCCTCTTCCCCGCCTCTGGCTTCATGGCAACTTTGAGACTGCACAAAATGGAGACAGCCAGGTTCGCTTCAGAGTTGACAGTTCTCCAACAGCAACCCTCAACCTTTGGGTCTCAGGGACCGATACTGTGGAGGGCACTTTTTTCTGTGGACTGGATGGTGTGGTTTTGCACACTGTCTGGATCCCGCATTTGCACAGATAGGGCTTTACTCGCTTCTACAGCCTGGTTCCTGGTTGGCCATGCACTGGTGCCGGTCCGTTGCCCAGGGACTGGGGATCCCTTCTTCCACAAAATTTGGCTTAGTATAAACTTCCTTCCTTCTCAAATATCCATCTGCTTTCTACTCTGTAATTTTCCACTCCTTTTTTTTCCTTCAGGTGGATGCTTCGGCAGAGGAGAGCTTGGACATACTAAACCAGACCTCGGCCATCAGTGTGGGTGACCTGACTTGTGACAGTCGGGCCAACAGTGATTATGAAGAAACGGACGCAGAAGGAGAACCTTACACAGACCAGGAATTAGATGAGCCCTATCAAGAGGCAGCTCTGAGCCGTTCTTCGGAGCCGGCAGAACAAAACCTGGATCAGGAACTGAATGAGCGTGTGGCAGCTGCTTTGGCCTACCCCATTGACGTGGTAAGGAGAGTCAACCTCCTGGCCTTGAAGGGGATCCTAAAGGTGATGTAGTCTGCACCAGGAGTCTCCAATCTTGGCAACTTTAAGCCTGGAGGACTTCAACTCCCAGAATTCCCCAGCCAGCAAAACTGCCAAGGTTGGAGACCCCTGGTCTAATATATTAGTTTGCCCTCTTTATTTTTCTGACTTCGAGGCACTGATCTGGCAGGTACCCAGACCAATCCCTGCTGTTTTATTGGCAACCTTTTCAGAACTTTAATAGTTTTGAATTCATTCTAATTTCTTTGCTTGAGGAGGGCCTGTGGTGGCTCACGTGGTAAGATGCTGGGCCTGCTCACCACCGAGGCCAAGGCCAGCATTTCAGCGCCTCGATTCCCCGTGAGAGAATAAACCACGGAGGGACAAGACAGGAGCCTCCCCCAATTGCCTACTAGCATTCAGGCGTCAAAGATAACACTGCCTATAAAAATTCCTTTCACATAAGCAGCCAGCCACCTCGGTGATCCCTGGCTAACAAGTGCCATATGCTAAATAAATAAATATTTGCTTGATTGATGTGAGTCTCTCAAAGTTGGATGGCACACAAGTGTAATTCTTCTTCTTCTTCTTCTTCTTCTTCTTCTTCTTCTTCTTCTTCTTCTTCTTCTTCTTCTTCTTCTTCTTCTTCTTCTTCTTCTTCTTCTTCTTCTTCTTCTTCTTCTTCTTCTTCT